TGCTCACCCCGTGCAGGCTTGCTGGCTGCTCTGGAGGGGTCAGCTGGGAGAGCCAGGAAGGGAAATCCTTCTGGGGGCTCTGAAATAGATCCAGAGGGTCACACAAGGGGTGTCCCCAGTCCCACCTCCATCCCTCATACCATGCAGCATGCCGCAGTCTGGAGCCCACCCGTATTTATATTGTATGGGTACAAGCTGGGAGAGCCAGGAAGGGAAATCCTTCTGGGGGCTCTGAAATAGATCCAGAGGGTCACACAAGGGGTGTCCCCAGTCCCACCTCCATCCCTCATACCATGCAGCATGCCGCAGTCTGGAGCCCACCCGTATTTATATTGGTATGGGTACAAGTATCACTCTACCATTACTAAAGGGAATTTTGTGTTTAGGGTGGGTGTTTGCAACCCCCAATTTGTTGCAGCAACCTCCAGCTACATCCCACTGCTCATACAAACATCCACCTCCAAAACGGGCAGGGCTGGGGCTGGCCGCAGCAGTCCCTCCCCTGGCCCCCAGCGCACAAGGAGACCCCAAGCGCCCCAGCGAAGGACAAGGACTCGGACCCACACCCCTGTCTCCTCTGGAGAGAGCCTGAAGCCCCCGGAGCTGCAGGGAGCAATGCCGGGCGCAGGGCTGGGGACAGTGGCCTGTCCTGGACCCCCTGCCTGCACCTGGCAGGGAGGCCAGCACCAGCGCCCGCTCACCTTCTGTCCGGGGGGGAAAATCTGCAGCTCCTCGATGGTGAAGTGGAGCCAGACGGGGGAGGGCTGCCGCAGGATGAACCGCACCGCCGTCACCTGGTCCACATCGCACAGCATCTGAAGGGGCAAGGACGGGGAGAGCCATCACTGCTGGGGATACAGCAGGGGCTGGCCAGGCCGGCACTGCTCCGGGGCAGCTTTTGGGATTTGCTCCAAAAAAACCCCAACCCACCCCAGCTGGAAGGAGCCCGAGGGAAACGTCACCTCATGGTGGCTGTCTGGGCTGAGCGGGGCACAGGCGGGGGCACAGGCAGGACCGGCACGGGGACCCTCACTGCAGAGAAGGGGTGGCAGGGGCAGGAGAGGCACCGCGAAGGCCGGCCCGCCGCTGCCAGGGGGGCACAGTGGGGCATCAGCACAGGGCCCCAGGGACCGGGAGCCGTCCTGGGGTGTGGGCAAAGAGGGGTGAGCCCCAGAGGCGTGGGTGATGCCGTGGCCACTGTCCGGCCATGCCGACCTGGTGGCGGCGGAGGGAGAAGTAGTCCTGGGAGCCC